CCAATAAATGGCTTTCTAAATGTATTCAGCGAAGATTTTTCTTCAAACAAAGTTCTGGTACCTCTGCAGCAGGATTCATTCTCCCCAGTTCAGGGGTGGAATACTAAAGAAGTAAGAAGAATCTTTCTGAAGTATTTCCATGGTAAGCTTATTACCAGAACTTCCATATTGTTTTTATTTGGGTTTTCTGTTTTTTTTATAGTGTAAACATAGGGAAGTAATTTTTGATTTACAGTGCATTCAGAAAATATTCAGACCTTCACTTTTGTCAATTTTGTTGTGCTGCAGCTTGATTCTAAGTTGATGAAATTCATTTTTTTCTCATTAATCTACATTCAGTACTCCATAATAAAAAAGTGAAAACAGAATTTTAGAAATGTCCATAAATTTACTAAAAAGAAATAACTGAAATATCACTTTGCCATTCAGATCCTTTGCACATGAAATTGTGCCTCCGATTTCTCTTGATCATTGCTGACACGTTTCTACACCTTGACTGGTGTCCACCTGTGGTAAATTACATTGATTGCACATGATTTTGAAAGGCACACATCTCTCTATAAAGGTGTCAAAGTTGCAGAGCAAAAGCCATGAGGTCAAAGGAACTGCCTGCAGAGCTCAGAGACAGGATTATTGCAAGGCACAGATCTGGGGAAGGCTACAATAAAATGTCTGCTGCACTGAAGGTTCCTAAGAGCACAGTGGCCTCCATAATTCTCAAATGAAAAAAATTTGATGCAAGCAGGACTCTTTCAAGAGTTGGTCACCAGTCAAACTGAGCAATCGGGAGAGAAGGGCCTTGGTAAGAGAAGTGACCAAGAACGGGATGGTCACTCTGACTGAGCTCCAGAGATCCTGTGTGGAGATGGGACAACCTTCACTGCAGCCATCCACCAATCTGGGCTTTATGAAAGAGTAGCTAGATAGAAGCCTGTCCTCAGTGCAAATCACAAGAAAAAGCTCCTGAAGGACTCAGACTTTGAGGAACGAACTTTAAACAGGCTTTCATGAGTTTTGCGCCGAGGAGAAGCTTCCATCTAGCCACTCTTCCATCAAGCCCAGATCAGTGGGCTTATGCCAATGCGATGTTTCAGTTTTTTCTTTTTAATAAATTTACAGGCATTTCTAATACTCTGATTTCAGTTTGTCATTATGGAGTACTGAACGTAGATTAATGAGAAAAAAATTGAATTTCAACAACTGTAGAATCAGGCTGCAGGATAACCAAATAGACCAAAGTGAAGGGGGTCTGCATACTTTCTGAATGCACTGTAGATATTGAAACTTCCTTTTGATTCCTGCTCTCCCCGCTCCTCCCCTTAGATGATGGCAGCTTATTTGGGCAAAAGGACCTGAATGGGTTAACATAAGCATGTGTCTTAATATGGAGATTGATAGGATATTGTGAACTCCTTGTGAAATGTAATGTACTTTTTAGTTTCACAATAAAAAAAAAACCCTCATCCAGTGGCAGTATGACTCAGAGGAGATTCGCCATTTATATACAAGAGACTGGGCACAATTTTGCATTTAGCCTCCTTGTTTCTTTTTTAAACATTATCTTTCTATAAATAAATGCATCATCACTCCAAAGCATTCCTCTTAAAAATAGTGTAAACCAGATAAGCTACTAACAAAACAATTTTTAAAAGTCATTGTCTTCCTCATGGTTAGGAAGGCAAAGGGAAGGCACAAGGCAAACTTAACACCTTCTATTCATTTAACAACCTCCTGCACTGAATTAAAAAAAGGAGAGTTAAAAAGTGCAGAATTCCCCTATCTCTGCCTGCCTTCAACCGGAGACGTTTATACACTTTCCAAAACAGCTAATAATATATGTCTGGAGCCCTCATTGTTAGTCTAAGCAGAGAAATAACGTTAGAAATCAAAAGCAACAGCAAACATGTCTCCTTAATATGCCATAGCGCTTCCAGCACCCCAACACCATCGGCCCTGTCATATCCAGTTTGCACGTGTCCTTTCTAGCTTTCATTGCCAGCCTGAACCTGCACCTCGTGGAAGCCTGTCCTGGACCAGACACAATTCTCCGGCAGGAGGAAGGGGGTGGGGGGGGGGGGAGAAGCAAATAAATAAACTGAGTGGTGTAAAAAAGAATTGCCTTGCAGGTGCCTGCAGCTGCCGGTTAACACAGACAGTAAGAGGATCAACTCCTTCTCCACTGGCTGGAGGGGAGAAAAAATAAAGCTCCTACATTTACTATTCAAAGTTTACTTAATTTGGATGATAACGGTTAGTTTCTAATCCCATTGTGCAGGACTGAATATACTGAAACCTAACAGCTTTCTGAAAGGATATCTCTCCCAAGCAGAGCAGCACTCGGGAGCGTCCCTGGGCTGGACCGAGCAAGGCACGCTGCTTCTGAAAACTTTCTGTAAGGATTTGTTTAGTCACCCACCAGGTTGCAGACAAAACAGGTTGCAGACAAAACATCGAGAAAGAACATTTCTTTGTCTAGTATTTTATCACGAGAGAGGAGTGCCAATTCGCATTTTACCATGAATGTGGTAAAAAGAAAAAGAAAACAGTAAAATTTGAGGACATTATGTGGCACTTTCCAAAGTAAAATAATAATAAGAGATAAACATTAATCTGTTTTAAAGGAAGAGAAGAGAATCTGCAAAAATATGACAGTGAAACTAAGAATTTGAAACGGGGAGCACAACGGCAGTATTTCCGTGGAATAGGCTCCATTTTCCAGAAAGACTGGATCTAAAGGGAGGCTCTGGAATACCTGTCCAAATTTCTCTGGGTTATTTTTATATGAAAGGGCAAACCCACCATGTATTTTTGATCACATTTGTTACTGAGGCAGTCAGTAGATCAAACAAAGTGGTTGGCAGGTGCGGGGTGTCCTTGGGCAATGAACTAAAGAGGTGCCACTGCAAGATGAAAGAGGTCTGGAAATGCGCACGGAAGCTTTGGAGAGGAAAAGGGCCCTTATTCTTCTGTGAATTCCCCCAGATTCCTGTTGGACTGTTTCCCATATTTCCCTCTTTAGCCTTTCAAAATATATAAAACATCTTTCCCCAACTTCCATTATTTCCCTCTGGACGCCCCCCTTCGAATATGTTGCCCCCCCCAAATGAGAGTCCTTTGCGCTCTCAAGGCAAAGAGGCGCGGCTGCCAGAGCAGAGGCCCTTGGAAAAAAATTAACAATGCTGTGAAAATATGTTTGCAGAAAATAGACAATTGTTGGATTAGACTATTCAAGTATGAAATAATGCCTTTTTGTGTAAAAACTTCAGCAATGTGCGTGTACAAAAGTTCGCTGTGGCAGTTACTTGCTCCCTTTGTGAGCGCTGCGCTTTGGCGTCTCCACTTGGCGCGTTTCACTCCAAGCCTCTTTAAACGCGATTGTTTCTTTCTTTCTCAAGACATTTACCGGATCAAAACATGCTGTTAATTCGATCAGAAAGCTTTACCCTTTCTAACAATGCCACAATAATTTCTCCTGAAGTTTGTTAAATTGACCAAAATTAGGCAAACGAATAGGTGCTGGTGACACCGCATAATGCGCTCTCGGAGCAGCTGCGATTCCTTCTTTATTTTGCCTCTCTTTTCTTTGACCCGCATTATTAAAATTTAGGCCCAATGAAACTATTCACACTTTTCAATGGGACATTTTCCTATAGGATAATAGGCTACAAATTGAGCCTCTCCAAAGGCGGGGGGAAGGGGGCGGAGGAGCGAGGCAAACAACAAGATGGAGACATACACACCATAGGAAAAAGGACGGTCGTGTGCCAAAAATGTGAAGGAGCCTCCCTGGGTCTGCTGAGGGGAGGAGAGAAATTTATAAACCGGGGAGGGGGGTCTTGTGCCACCCTTCAATCCCCACACCTGCCGGGGTTCCCCCGCCACATAAAGCGATAGAAACAAAAAAAAAAAGCCTCGCTGCCATCTCTCATAAAGATGGACGCGTCACCAAGTCGTGTGAGAAAAGCCTGAGAACAAACGGACCCACTCCGTCTCCAAGGGCTCTTCCTTGAACTGGGCGGAACAGCCTATTAAGGGCTTACTTAATTACTTTACTGATTTTGGACAGGCTTTAATATGCAGTCGGCGCTTGGCCAGGGAAGGAAGAAAAGAGGTGCCTGGGATTTACAAACAGGCGGTCCTGTGAGAGACCGACCAGGCGTTTGGGGCCTTTGAAGAAGGACGCTGGTGTTTCACAACCTGCCTGCGCGCCACTTGTTTCTTCTGTAGTCCTGTGCTGCCCGTTGCCATGCAAATACTCTTTGGGGGTCCAATCACGTGGCATTTAAGGCCACGTGGAGTGACAAAGCTGATCTGTAGCTCTTCCCTCACCCGCCCCTAGTCTCTGGGGAGTGGGGGGGAAATGCCCTGTACGTACACACATTTTAAGAAAACCTTATCTTTAATGCATGTCTTCTAATGCTGTTTTCCCTAATCCTATGGAACCAGGCAGGCCATGAATATCGCCCCCTCCCTCGCCTTAGAAATGGTCGCTTTATAAATTGCCTCTTGGAAGTTCGGGCTGCACAATCCACCTGGGCCACTTGGGTAGAGACCTCGGGTGCCTTCGGCCAGCTTTTCCCCGTCCACTTCTTGCCTCGATGTCTTCAAAACTTAAGGAACGGAAAGTGAGTTGGCGCTTTGGCGCTGCCCCGCGCACTTCAGGTCGAGTGCAACTTTCTTCTCCGGAGGGCCTGGTGCCATTTAACCTCAGCCATTGACTTTGTGGCTTTAAAAGAGGGTGGAGGAGGGCGGGTGGGTGGCACGCAGCCCCAGGCAGACGAGCTAATAGTAAAAACGCTTCGCAAGGAGACGTTTCACTTTGGGCAACTCATATGAGCCTGTCGTGCCACTGGGTGACCCAGATGTGGCCTTGTCTCCTCGTCCCGTCGCACTTTTCCCCTGCTCTTTTCCTGCCCTGCCCTCCCGCCCCATCAAATGTAATTGGGATCCTATAATTGGTTACTGACAAAGCCACCCACCCTCTCTCGCTCTCCAAGGTTTCAACAGAGGATAAGGAGAATTTAATTCTAGAATTCGGGCTTCAAAAGATGATTTTGGCAGGGAATGTTTTGAAAGGCGAAGAGCAGAGGGAGACCCAGAAGCGTCGAGTAACTTTTAAATGGCCTGGTGTTAATCCAAAAACCGGCGGGACTCCGTCCGGTTTGATGACCTCCCCGCTTGTCCGCTACTCGTGTATTTATCCTGCACCGCTAACATGTTTTTCCAGAAGATCCCCATTTCGCACAAAGTGATCGAAAAGAGGAGAAGAGACCGGATCAACCGCTGTCTAAACGAACTCGGGAAAACCGTGCCCATGGCTTTGGCCAAGCAGGTACACGCGCGTTCCCCAGCAGAAAAACTCCCGGGACTTTTGGCGTCTTTCCAGAGAAAAAACGCAGCAAGTGACACCTTTGGGTGGCAGGTCCCTTTCTTTGCCCGCAGGGCTCCTTGTGAGAAACCTTGCAAATCCGCTTCGCGGGGTGGGAGAAGCCGAGCTGAGGCATATTAAGTAAGGAACGGAATGGCTTTTTCGTTCTGCGCCATGGCAAGTTTTGCCCCCTTTGTTCCTTTGCACCAGGTGTAACTTCTGCTGAACTTTTGCTCTTGACTCTTTGCAGAGTTCCGGTAAGCTAGAGAAGGCGGAGATTTTGGAGATGACGGTGCAATACCTGAGGGCCCTTCACTCCGCGGATTTCCCTCGGGGAAGAGAAAAGGGTAGGCGCGCTCGTTGGGGGGGGGGGGGACGGGGGACGGTGCGTTCCGGCGCTTGGCAGCAAGCAGGCGCAGAAAGAGATGCTGGTGGATTTGGGGGAAAGCTCGCGGAGCGAGCACCTTAAGTCGGCTTGCTGCTAAAACGGAGCTTCATGAGAACCCCAGTTCAATTCGGTTAATCTCATCTTTAAAACGCCAGAAGACTCTTTCTTTTGCTACAGATTAAATTTGCTACCTTTTTGGAATGAAATACGCACGGGCCAGTCTCAAATATTTTGCTGCCCAGTGTAAAGAACCAGATTGCCCTTCCCTGCCTTTCTCTGATCATGTGGTTTTTAGAAGACAGTAATTGGGTTCCACACTGCAGCATCTTGGCTTATTTTACCCTGGTTTAATGACAAACCACTATAGACTTTCCCATTTAAAATGCTGAGCAGTAAATTAGGTTTTATATACTTCAGTGCCCTGGTTTGCATATTGTCTTAACGACCCCACAGAACTCTTCATGGTTCTGTGTAATAGGAGAATCCAGCTGCTCTCCTGCATCACACCTGAGAATAGCAAATTTCAAGGCTGTGACTGAATTGCCTCCCGGCAGGATTTGAGGGGCTCAACCAAAGAGCAGCTTCATCTTAACCTCTTTCCCAGATCCTAATCTTTGGCATTTATTTTTATTGGAATGATTAAATATTGCTTTAAGCGTTAGATAAATTAATAGAATGGAGGTCAACCCATGAGGAGAGAGGTGGTTCATTCCAGATTGTTGAGCTCAAGAAACAGATTAACTGTAGAAAACAGGGCTAATAAAATAAGCATGTGACCTTCTGTAATTGGACATTGGTTGATGCAAAGAGAGTATGGTTGGCTAGATGGGCATTTGATTGGATCCAGCATTCGTTAAATGCCTAATAATCTAGGATAAAGAGATATTTATTCATCCATTTTAAATAGACTAAAATGGAAGACTTTGGAGATGAATAATATAAAAATTATTCTGGTACAAACTTTTAGGGACTATAGACACTTGCCAGTTGATCAACTTTGTGAATATTTTGTGGACATATATCCACAATGGTCTGCATTTCAAATTGTGTGTGTGTAGTATATGACATTGCTGATTGAAGTTATTTTAAATATTGATTAATTCTGTCTTGGGGGTGTGTTAAATGTATTGATCCACAACTTCCATCTTTCCAGATGGCTTGACTGAAACTGGTGGAGTTCACGCATCAGAAAAGAACCATGTTGTGAAAGTCTCAGATAGACATTGATTTAGACTTGTTTGTATAAGTGGTATAAACTTTCTGCTAAGAGAATTTGGAGTAAAGTTTCTTGATTTAATGATCCGCTTTGTGGTTATAACTTCTGACACTGCTGGATGCTTAATAAATGTCATTGTTCTTCAGCCTGCCTTTCATAGATACCTTTATTAATACTTCGTTAACTTGGAGGCTTGACATATTTGAGTACTGTCAGTTTCAGAAATTAGCCTATTAAATAATTTTTTTAAACAGTTTGCTAATTTAGCTACTACAAATAGTAATAATTACACTGAAATATAACTCTCATAAATATAAACCAAACACCCCCCAAACCCAAGCGTACAATGCTATTTCTTTCTTCTTTCTTTCCAGCAGAGCTTCTAGCTGAATTTGCCAACTACTTTTATTATGGCTATCATGAATGCATGAAGAACCTAGTTCACTACCTGACCACAGTGGAGAGAATGGAGACCAAAGATACCAAGTATGCTCGGATTCTGGCTTTCTTGCAATCCAAAGCTCACTTTATCACCGAACCTCTCTATGCTTCTCTGGGATCTCTTCCAGAATCAGACTTTTCCTACCAGCTTCCTCCAGCTCCAGACTGCTTGGCTCAAGGCACAAACGATCCTGTTTTCTCACAAGCGGCTGGGCATGGTCACTTCTCCTGGCACGGTTCCACCAGAAATCCCACCATTCCTTACCTTCCCAATACTGCCATGCCCCTCACTAGTCCAGGACAACAGCGCAACACTTTCTTGCCATCGGTACAAGGGCTGGATCGCCACTACCTCAACCTGATCGGCCATTCCCACCCCAATACATTTAGCCTGCCTCCTAGCCAACATCCATCTGTGTTGTAGCTTACACCTGGGATGCCCAGTTTGTTTTTCAAAGGGGGCTCACGTGTCTTTCATGGCTGAATTAGAGAACTGGATGGTTTCTTCTGACAGGCTATTCTTAAAGGCAAAGAACATCTTTAAGACACCATTAGTTATCTGAAGAGAATATACAATGGCCCTCCCATCACTGTAAACACATATGTAACTAATGGTGGGGAAAGAATAAAGATGAACTCCTGGGGGAAGAAGGTGTGTATGCCTGAGATGTCTTTATTCATTCTTCTATTGTCCAGCTCTTCTAAATATTTACTCCATATTGTTTGCTTTCCAAACAAACATCAGTAAAGTTGCAGAGAGCTGTACTGATTTTAAGAAAAAAAGGGGAGAAGTGTGTGCTGAATGAGTATATTTATCATCCTACTCGTGGAAATTTTTACACTCACAAGAGGAGCAAATTTGTATGGTAACCTTTAACTTAAATAGAAGTAATCCTTGACTTACAGCCATTCATTTAATGACCATTCAAAATTAAAACAGCATCGAAAAAAAGTGGCTTATGACTGTTTTTTACACTTATAACTGTTGCAGCATTCCCATGGATGTTGCTTCGCAACTGACTCACATTTATGACGGTTGCAGTGTCCTGGGGTCATGTGATCACCTTTGGCGCCTTTCTGACAAGCAGTCAAGGGGGAAGGCAGAGTCACTTAACCATGTTACATATTTGACAACTGCAGTGATTCACTTAACAGCTGTGGCAAGAAAGGTCGTAGCATGGGGCAAAATTCATTTAACAACTATCTTGCTTAGCAACAGAAATTTTGGGTTCAATTGTCATAAGTCGAGGATTACCTGTACTGGGTTCTTTGAGATGGAATTGGAAAACTTATATAAAATATATAATATTTTTCATGTTAAGGCAGGTTATTGAGTCCTCTAGCATCCTGCCAAAAGCTGAACTTAAGACATTCTCATACAAAGAACATAAAGTATAATAGAAGAATGAGCCACGTGGAACCTGTGGAGATTTATGTTGTTTTCTTCTTGTACAAAATTCAAAACAAATGACTTTTAAAAAGTGCCAGCTAGAACTAATGAAAATGGCAAGTATGACTTACGCATCTCCACTAAGGGTTGTTACCATGAGCCTTGAGCTCACAAAAACTTTACACAAAACTTTCCTATTATGTTTTCTTGGTGGTTAGGAGTGAAGAAAGGAAATGGTTGCTCCTATTCCAGAACACTTAGAAATCTGACTGCTTTGGTTTGCTGTCACAAACTGGTTAGGATTCTAGATTCTATTTATTTATTTTTCGACAGACAGGTGTCAGCTTTGAAATTCAGCCAACAGGTGTGAATGGTCCTGTTCACACAACTTAGTCTACGTGGGCTAAAGGTTCAGATAATAGGTAACAGATAATCAGAGTTGGAAGGGACCTTGTAGGTTATCTAGTCCAACCCTCTGGCCAAGCAGGAGACCCTATACCATTTCTGACAGAGGGGAGTCCAATCTCTTCTCGAAAGTCTCAACTGATGCTGCTCCCACAACTTCCGAGGGAAGCTGTTTCATTGGTTGATTGTTCTCACTGTCAGAAAGTTTCTCCTTGTTTCCAGGTTAAATTTCCCCTTGTTCAGTTTCCATCCATTATTCCGTGTCTGGCCTGGATCTATTAATATGAGCATTCTGGTCCAGTCAAAATGGGGCCGGGGGGGGGGGGGGGAGCCTTGCAGCCTTCTTGGTCAGCCATAGAATAGAAACAGAGAAGAGACAATCTCCCGTGCTGCCAAAAAAGGACAACATCCTACGTCAGCAGGAGCAACAACGACAGACTTCCCAAGAATTTGTTTTTATGTTTTAACTTCCACGCCACACGGAGAGGGAATAGGAGACAGAAGGTTCTGGTGGAGGGCAATTTTCTCACGACTCCATCAGTGTTGACCCATCCCAAGTTGGGCTATTTCAGATTTATAAACCATTTCCCTTCTGAAGAGGAAAGAAAAAGAAGGAATTGATAAGAGCTCCTGATTTCATTGCAGTAGCTAGGACGACTCTGATGATTGTCTCTCTCTCTCGAATAAATGGCTCAACCTCAGTCATGCTGCCTGATGAAAGGCTGGCTTGACTAGTTAGGTATGTTGCACAGGTAGTCCTCAACTGAGCCCAAAATTTATGTTGCTAACTGACAAAACTTGTTAAGTGAGATTTGCCCCATTTTACGACCTTTCTTGCCACATTTGTTAAGTGAATCACTGCAGTTGTTAAATTAGTAACCCGGCTGTTAAGTGAATCTGGCTCCCCCATTGACTTTGCTTGTCAGGAGGTCACAAAAGGGGATCACATGACCCCCCCCCCGGGACAATACAACCGTCATAAATGTGAGTCAGATGTCAAGCATCCAAATGTTAATCACATGACCATGGGGATGCTGCAATGGTCATAAAGCAGTTCCAGATTAGTTCTTGGGAAACAGAGTAACTTATTCCAATTTGTCCTGCTGGCTTAAGATGTGAACTGAACTATATTGCTTGCTAAGGTCATCAAATAGGTTGATCCACAATTTGTGAAGCCACAATTCCTGAGAGGGACAAAATTCATTACAATTGTGTATAACATATACCATATATTATTTTCCCCTTTAAACTGTAAACAGAAAAAAAAATCTGGTGTGAGAGATGACTAGAAGAGAACAATTAACATTTGATGAAAGGAAGAGAAACAACAGCCAGTTTTGTTATGACTCCAAATCCATATTATGAGCGTTGTAAGAAAGCAGCTCTTGTTAAGTGTCTATAGGATAAAATCCATGTGGAAGTGGGAGAATGGCTGGTGTCTATTATCAAAAAACATGACTTATACACATTTTCTTCATTTCTTGAGGCAGAATATCAAGAAAAGGCCTTTGACCATTTTTCTCTGTCCCAGAACTAAGCCGTTCAGATCTCCTTTGGCACTGAAGCATTACGGACCGACTGTTACCCTGGAAATATAAATTATTATTAATTTATTCAACATTTTGAGTACTGTTAACCAAATTAGATCAAAACTCTCCCCCCTTCCTAACTATTCTCTGCTCAATATTCTTTCTAGGATTAGCCCAAGGCCACCACAGTCAACCCCCCCCCCCGTCATTTACATATAATTTTGCAAACCTGCAGCAGCCCAAGACTGCTTTGTGTCTCAAAAGTTGCTTCCATTCTTCAATCTCTCTTTCTTTCGGTGTGTGCCCTTCCCTCCCCTTTTCATTTAACAGAGGAGGATAACCTCGGCTTTAGATTTACAATGGGCTTGGGATAAAAAAATTTGTCTCCTTGTCCTGCCTCAATCTTTTGTTGCCTCTGCGTTTCCTGCCTTTTCCCCATTTTAGCACTGAGTCTCTCCTCATTTCTCAGCTCACTTACAAAGAGCTGCAGCCTGAAGTAGTCTTCATTTCATTCCCAGACAGTGAGAAATATTACTTTAGGTGAAAGAAGAAATAAGTACGTTTTGAGGCTAATTTTTCTCTCCCCTTCCCCATACCTGAGTAGCACCAGATTTTCTTCTTTCTTGTACGGTCTCCTCTAAATTAAGTTGTATAGTGCCTCCAACAAAATACAAGAAGCAAACTTCCCAGCAGTTGGGGCTGGGGCTGAACCATTGTAGCCCCTTGTTTCTTGGGCTTCATCCTTGATTGGGCAAGAATAAAAATAATCTTCCCCATGAAATCAGGAGTTCTCTCTGCACAAGGGACAAAGGTAGGCCTCAGTCGCCTTGAATTTGTCTTAGCTGCTGCAAGAGTCTTGCAACCAGCATGGGACTGGGTCCACCCAGAGACCATCCACTGCAGCTTTCTTAATACAGAGGTCACGGGTGCTTTCAAGCATTATTGAACAACCAACCAATTCTTCCCAGCCCCGTATGGTCTCATGACAACAACTTCACCCGCCTGCATTAACCTCAGATGATGCGAAATGACAAGCTGGAATGGTGGATGTTGTAGGCATGGTTCAAAGGTATCCATGAATATTAAAGGGATGGCATAGTTTCCCAGAGAAAAATCATGTGAGGAAACAGCAAGGAGTTTGTTAATCAGGAAGGAATTTGTAATCAGACACCATGGAAAAGGGAACAGCTGGAGGTATACTTTGAAACTATCATCTGGTTAGTAGACTTCTAATTCTAGTCTTCTTCATAGCAAATACTTGGTAAGTAACCAACTGAAAAAAGACTTTCATTCCACTCTGTACATCTGGGTGTGCAAGAGAGCACCCCCTACTTTTGTCCCCCATTTATTGAGCAGCTGTTGATTTAACTGCTCTGTGTATGAAACCACCTGGTTGAAAATCCTAATGACAATATGAGGAGGTTCTTTCTATGCTGAAACATTACATACAAGCACAGTTGTATGTGATGGTTCTATCATCTGTCCGTCCATCTGTCTGTCTTCTATCTATCATCTATCTAATTTCTGTCTATCTGTCTTGTCCTCTCTTGACTCTGCCCTGCCCTGCCCCCTCCTGTGTTTCCCTCCCACTCACCCACAACTAGCCTAACCATGATTGAAGAAATAAAGCAAGAGCTGGGCAAACTTGCCCTACATTAGAAATAATCATTGCAGATCAGACTGTTTATCCTTGAAGCTTCTGTAGCTAGCCACTGACTATAGATTCTGAAGGAAGATTTATTGCCAATGTGGGATGAAGTCTGACAATCACAAAATATATTGATTGCATAACAATGCCAAGCATGGGTAGGAATGTTGCATGTGAATGATTAAAACTAGGAATTTAGTCTTCATCTTCTCTCTGTCACTCTCTGACTCTGACTCTGCTTCTGTTTTCTTTTTTTCTGTCTCCTCTCTCCCTCACTTGCCTTCAAGTGACTTGTCTTCTGGCAATGGCCTGGCCAAGTCGTTCAAAATGTCTTGGTTTACCTCTGCCTTCTTCCTAGGGCTGAGAGAGAGTGACTGGTCAAGGTCATTCAGTGGGCTTTGTGCCTAAGGTGGGACTAAAACTCTCCTGGTACCGGGTACCTTAACTGCTACACTAAACTGGTTATTTTATCTACTCTACTTTTCCAAAAAATATATATGTGAAAATCTCATTTGACCAAAGCCACCGCATGCAGCGAAGGCCAGTAATGACAAAAGCTTATAGAAGAGTGCAATGTGAAATGCAAAAGGACTAAATGGTAAAGAGCATGATTTAATGAATGAAATGAAACCATTAAAAAGAGGAAGGATGAAATACAATGAAAAAAGGCCTCTT